ATTTTGAGCGTTTAATTGACCCCACAAATGTGATGCTCCAGAAACTCAATCTGCTCAAAGGAAGGTCAGTTTTGTAGCTTCTGTAACGAGCTAAACTGTTTTCAGATGTGTGAACATGATTGCACAAGGGTTTTCTAATCATCAATTAGCCTTCTGAGCCAATGAGCAAACACATTGTATCATTAGAACACTGGAGTGATAGTTGCTGGAAATGGGCTTCTATACACCTATGTACTGTATTGCACCAAAAACCAGACATTTGCAGCTAGAATAGTCATTTACCACATTAGCAATGTATAGAGTGTATTTCTTTAAAGTTAAGACTAGTTTAAAGTTATCTTCATTGAAAAGTACAGTGCTTTTCCTTCAAAAATAAGGAAATTTCAATGTGACCCCAAACTTTTGAACGGTAGTGTATATATATATATATCAATTTCTTTTGTAAAGTCAGTCCAAATTAACATGCTCCTCATCAATTTAAACTCCTAAATGCACTTAAAGTTTTATATTTAACCCTCCATTTAGGAGAAACGGCTATTGTGAAGAAAGAACTACAACTTCCAGTAGCGTTACAATACAACGTGATTGGACACACCATGAAATATGTAGTTCTTCTTGGGGTTTACAACTAGAGTTGTGTTTTTGTATTAATAAACTAAAATAAATGGATTGAAGTACTGACAAATGTGCTACTGGTAAAGTATAATATGTGTATATGAAATAAGTGTAAAAGAGGACATCGTATTTCTCTCCAAGCAGGCTGTGGTGCGTCTTTCACCCAGTGTAACTTCTATGTAGCTTCTCTACCATAAAGACCTGAATGATGGAGTACTTCTGAGATTGTTCTCCTTCCCAAATCTTCTCCACCCCTGCAAAAGACTTCTGAAAAGTGACTCTGTTAGAGCAACCATTGGGTTCTTGGTCTACTTTCCTGGATATTCCAGAATGAATGTCTGTTCCCTCTGGCAGACAAACATGTGCCAGAAAATCTAGTCGTCAGTAAACCATGTTGAAACTAGTAGTGTTTAAATACATAGATTTCTATAGAAATCTGAGCAAGCACCGTGTGTGTTCATGAAGTAGCAACTAAGTTTAAGGTGACTTATTCAAGCAGGGGACCTTTGCTGCATATCGTTCCCTCTCAATCACCAATTAACCTCAACATGTTTTTGGACTGTGGGAGGAAGCCGGAGAACCTGGAGAGAACCCACGCTGCACAGGGAGAACATGCAAACTCCACCTAGAAAAAGTCCCAGGCGTCCTAACCACTATTTGCTTCAGTGAAATAGTGGCCATCCAATAGTGTACTCACCAATTCAACAGCTGACTTACTTACTAATTCTGACTGTTGTCTTCCACATACCACAAACAAACAGCAAGTAAAATGTAAATAAGACATCAATAGATAATTCTACTTACATGTGTTCCAATGAATCTGAATTATTGTTTACACGGGTACAAGTTCATTAAAACAGGAAACTACAGCATTTACAGATTGATATGTTTTATTTCATACACATATTCCCTTTGTCTATCCTATCATTCGTAAAATACAGCTCAGTTGGCATAGTATCTAGAAAATGGGCATCACGTAAACATGTCCAACATGTAAATCAACACTGGTCATAAAAATTAAAAGAGTATGTCAAAAGTTTATTCACAAACAGAACACTGCTGTCTTCAAAAATAAATAAACAGTTACTGATAATCAAAGTTATTAATGGACTGTTATTAAATTGTTTTTTATTTGATTCCCTGGTGTAAGAATTATACAACTTCCATAAAAAAAGCAAACCATAAAATCTGGTTTTACCAAACCGTGACACATTTTGACCTGAAATAACAGACGTGCTTTACCACTTGGGGGCAGTGAAGAGAAGATATGGAAACCATTATCATATCTCCTTTCCAAGTTCAAGTTCATACGATAAACTTGTTAGTAAACAGCTGCTTATTTCAACATCGATAACTTATAAAGCACCAATGATATTTACTGGGACTGGTAATAAGTCCAAAATTATTCTTATTTAGACCGTCTCTGGTCTCAACCAACTCCTGAGGGCAACATCTATCTCTTTAGCTGTTGTAGTCTCTGTTGTTAGTCTGCTTTTTGGTGATGAACAGGTAGTGTGCAGTTGGCTTTTAGAGCTTTTCCTCTGGAAACAGCTGCAGCCAAAACAGTGCTATGAGACAGGCAAGGGTGAACTCAAACAATAGAGTTTCAGCCAGAGAGCTAAACAGACAAGTAAAACGGAGCATGGAGCTCGATAAAGCAGGAACTTCAGATTCATCCTATCCTCTGTAGGTTCATCCCTACTAGAGCCCTTTTCACATTGGCATTTGATAAATTGTTGTAAAAAATATCAATTCTGCACTTTAAGGTTCACTACCAAAAAAAAAAAAAAAAAGCTTTGAACAGTAACTTTATATACTGAATGTACTGCTGCTGATGTAGTTGGGCTGAGGTTCGACATAGTTCACAGTGTGTCTAGAAGACTTGGCTGGGCATGTCTGGAATCAGTGTGGGCACGAACAATCCAAGTTACTGTAGGGGCCCTATCTCCAAAGATGATTTGAGCATAGAATTACCAAAGGCTGCATTGTATGAAATAAAATACGTATGTACATCAAAGTTCTGCAGGTAATTACAGAGATTCCCATCTGAACTGTCGATCAAATTTTTTTTATCATGACCTTTGAACAGTGAAGTGACTGCTTCTCACAAGAAGAACTGAGCAATCAGGTTGGCTATGCCCAGCAGGATCAGGAAACTGTGGAAGATGGCTGAGGGCCAGCTGAGCCTTCCCTGGCGTCTCAGGGAGATCATGTGGACTAATGTAGGAAATACAAACACTAAAGCCAAGCCACATGTAGCCCCGGAAAACCTGCAAAAGGGAGGAGGGGTATGTACAAGTGAGAGACACCTCATCAATAGCAATCACAAAATTGTTCAATAGAATGTTTGATTGAACACAAAATACAATTGCATGAACAACCCTCACCCAACTGTGCTCCCTCCCTGGCCCATAAACAGTCTATTATATCCCTTGGTTACGGAGCCCTGTTGCTCTCGTAAGACAGGCTTTGCAGTCAAAAAAACAGCACGGACCCCAAAAATCTCTGTCCATCTAAGTTTCTTCAAGAGTAGTCACGATACACTCTCATGAAGAGCAGGCGCACATCCACACACACACACGTGCACACGCACACACACACACACACACAGACACGCACGCACACAGACAGACACACACAGACATGCATACATACCGTATGATGGATCCGATATTGGGATAAAACTTGGCCATCAGGACACCAGCTCCGACAATTAAGATATTCAGCATCAGAACATGAAAGAAACTGAAGAGAGATAAAGTGAAAAGTTATGATATGCTTAATTAATTGAATTTCTTTTCTGGGATAAATAAAGTATTTTTCATTCATTCATTTCATTCATTTCATTAACTTAAAAAGCTGTGTAATCATGTGAGATTTGAAAAAAAAATACTAGCTCACTGCTTTTTGCATATTATTGAGTTGCTTATTCAATTTCCTTTAGCTCTTTACCAACCTCTGTGAAACATGCCTCTGATAAATGATTTATAAAAGAAAGAAAGAAAGTCCTTTCCTGCAGCATGTCATCATTAAAAGGCAGGGTCAGATGGGCTACTGCTAACCTTTTAACTTTTCTACATTCTACAACAACAATGAAGACGTAAAAACAAAACAAAAAAAAGACATGGAATTTTAAAATAAACCAAGCCCGAACTACTGAATCCTGAGGTGCAGTTGACTTTGCAATTTTAGAGGCTAGTTACTCAAATGAACTTATCCTGGGCAGGGTTTAGAGGTAAGTCTTGGTATTCCTTTTTTGCTGTGGTCCTCATGTGGGCCATTTCTACTATTGTGACTCATGATTCAATATTTAAGTGAGCCCATTTGAACACAGAGGAAAACACAAAAATAGTAAAACCCTTCAGTCATAAAAACATGATGAGTTCTGGATGCAGTGCACACCACTGCATCCAGCGGTCCCCTGTCATCACCTAAAATGCTGCCAAACCACAGAGTTTTAGCATAGGTAAGGATGCTCTCCTTTGCTGCTCTATACCATTCCTGCATGGTAACACCATATCTCCACAGTACAGTATCATATTGATGGTTTCTGTGACTGCACTTGAGGAAACCTGCAAAGATCTTGAAAATGACTAAAGCAAAATGACTTGTGTCTGAATGTATGTCGTTTCTCTTTACCTAACTGAGCGCTTCTTAACGTAAGACGGATTTCTATGGTATTTGAACAGCATTATTTGTTATCAACACTAATTTGGCACAATGCAGCTGATGAAGCCTCACCTATTAACTGAAAACCATTACAGGTGATGACCCCATGAACTGATTAAGCGTTTGCCAAAAGCTGTCATCAAAAGACAAATGACTCAATTAAATTTCTCTTCTTCCAAATTGCTGTTCTACATTTCATAAAATGTCAACAAAAAACATAGAAAAACCCCTTAAATAAGTCAGTGTGTCCAAGTATTGTCTGGTACGGTATATACTAACAAACCTGTTTGAAGGAAGAGACATAGTCAGCTACAGTGACTGTTCCAATAGATATACTAAGGTGGGAAATTGCCTGAGATTTCACATGAATCTGAAGCTTCCAGTCATGCGTTCATTAGTCTGAATTTCATACTGTTAATATTTCACAGTACTGTATGTGAGTTTTGTCAAAAACCAAGCACACTGTTGTCAAAAGTTATCATCAACAATCTGCTGCTTGGATACAGAAAAAACAAATCACAAACACTGAATTCAATATTGTTAAGGGTTACCTGGGGTAATGATTTCCAAAGATCTGACTCATGATCTGGACCCGCACCAAGTATCCCAACAGAGGGTAGACTGTGATCATCTGGAAGAGCAGGAAGGCCCGAGCCACAAACACCAGCTTATCAGTGGTGGGAAAGTTATCTAAGAAGTTCTGTAAGAGAGAAGCAGTGCAGTCCTTAAAGAAATCCAATAGGGAAGCTGCAGTCACTGTAGATAATATTAAATACTGTAAAAGCAGCATGTTTAAATCTTACTGGTTCGATGCAGTCTTTGAAGAGAGGCGGTGAAGGAAAGGAAGCAAAAATCAACACTCCCACATACATATAGGTCATTCCTACTAGAAGATAAGCCACAGACAGGTCCCGCACCTAAAGACATCAAAACACAAACACATTTAACTTAAAAGCATCACTTGACTTCCTGTGTATCCTGAGGTCAATAAACTATGAGAAGAAAATGAAAACGGGAGGTTGATTTTTAATAAATGTTGTTCCAACTTGTACACCAGTGCTGTCATCGCTAATGATGACTGACATGATCCACCAAAAAAATTTTAAAAACTACTTGTGAATCTGAACAGTGTTATCTGAGTCGGCAAAGACCAGATTTGAAGAGTGCAATGCACATATATGAAACTGTCAGGAGCTTGGATGGATGGGGCTCACATTGTTCTCTTGGTGCTTGTTGCTCTTCATGAGTGTGATAATGCAGTTGTGAATGAAGAAGGCCAGAGTTAGGACACCAGTCAGCTGAGGAAAGAGCAGTCTGAACTCTGAAAGAGCAAAATAAGGTCAATGACACATTTGCCACTGCAAACAACAAAACAAGTTGAAGCCACAGTAATGCTTCTGGTTGTGTTGTTCATTACTTTCATTGATCAAAAAACTTTCATCCATTTCACTCATTTTATATATTTAAAATCTCAGAGGACACATTGGGGGGAATTCTTCATTTTCAATGTACCTAGGTATATACAAATAATGTCTTATTGTTATTATTATTACTATTATTATTATTATTATAATGAAGAAGAAGAAGAAGAAGAAGAAGGAACATATTGAGGTTAATTGGTGATTCTAAATTGTCCGTAGGTGTGAATGTGAGTGTGCTTGGTTGTCTGTCTCTAAGTGTAGTCCTGTGATAGACTGGAGACCTGTCCAGGGTGTCCCCTGCCTTCACCCTGAGTCAGCTGGGATAGACTACAACCCCCCATGACCCTACAGAGGATTAAGTGGGGTATCAATAATGGATGGCTCAATAGAGTATACTGTACTAAACAAAATAACAATAAATACTTGTTTAATTTTTTACATAGTTGTGAACAAAGGTCTACACACACTTTAAAGACCATGTACGAGGTGTGTCAGAGAAGTTCAAGGACTGGTGTCACAAAAGATATATTTCAAATCCAAGCTACAAACTACAAGTTTTCCCCGTTGAAGTAATTCTGTTGGAGTCTAAGGCACTTTCCCAGCCTTCTTTGACAGTAGGTATGGTGTTTTTTTAGGTTATATGCCAAATAAACACAAAACAATGAGTGGTAAAAGATGGGCATGAATGCTACTGTCATGAGACAGAAGGAACTGTGGTGGCACGATCACTTATGACAGCAGATAGCTGGATAGGAGTGCTATCTGCCTGGCTGTGGCTATACTACCTAATGATTGTTGGAATAGTTATTTTGGGGATGATTGGTTACATAACTATGAAGAGAGGAGCTGGAGCTCCTGCCACAGGAGGTGTTACGCCATTTAAAGGGAAGAAGGAAGGGAGGCCTTTCCCTAGAAGGGGGGAGGGGCAAATGGCAAAATTGTGTGAGTTTCTAGAGAACACCTTTGGGGTATTTTAGTGAGAAAGGCAGGGCAGGCCAATTCATTACTTTTGGCCCCTTAAAAAGGCGGACGGCACATATGAAATGTGTTGTAACTTCTACAACCTTCATCTGATGTGGATGTCAGTACCCTTAAACTAAAGCTGAAAGTCTGCACTTAAAGCACATTGTAGGGGGATTTGAGGATTCGAAAGCAGGACATGCAAAAACACCCCCAAATATCTTGCTACCATAAGTAAAGTTTGCCTGGAAGACCGTTCAAAAAATGTAGCAAGCCATTGTTAGAGACTGGAGTACAACTATGCACAACACAAAAGAATAAAACGTCTATTGATATTTTTGTCAATACAAGAAATAATTGGAAAAGCTAAGTTTACTTGTGGTTGTGTTGAAGTACATCACCTTTATCTGTAAGCACGGTTTCAAAGAGGATCAAATGTAACATGACACGATAGTCATTTTAATTCTTGACTGAAGCATAGAATCAAAGGCTTTCTTATTTAAAATGCTGAAGAAGCTGACGGTTTCAATGGGATGTACTGACTGTTTCACATTCTTTAACTAGAGTATGCCAACAAGGTTCATCCTAGTTGCTGAGAAAACGAACACAAAGGTTTACCTGGAACATAGAACTGGGTTGCGTCAAACCAGTGGAACTCCAGGTGGAAGCCAAGGCGGACAGCTTTGTAAGTAACCAGCGCAATCAGGTAGAGCACTGATAAGGTGCCTGGACAAGACGGAAGGAAGCAACAATGGATGGATGAGTGACACAGCACACAGCGCATTCAGAAGGAACGCCACAAAAAGCAGTTTTAACAAACTCTGGAGCTAATCTTCAACTCTAAGCATAATGGCTCATCTGTCCTGCATTCTACAACATAATGTGATTTAGGGCTGCTCTGACCTGCTAGTATGGCAGCTTTTACTGCAACATTTCCCAACATTTCCCCCCACGGTGACCAGAGTGAGGGAGAGGGGTCTAACAATGATACTGAATGCCCCCAGGTGGATGAGGTGCAATAAGATAGGAGAGATGATGCCTCTCCTAGATACAGTGTGACTGGATCATATACATTATTTAGAGCACAGAAGTCCACATCACAATGACATTGTAGAAAAACAAATGGAGGGTGTTTGAAGTATAGGCAGCAAATCTCAGATCATTTCCTTTTAATGCTCTTTGGCAGTAGTTCTCTCCTTTCTTCAGCAGCTGCTATTTTACTATTAAAGTGTCTTTGGTAGCCATTTTAGCCTGCCGTTACGTTTTTCAGATCATACGGTAGGCCAGCACCCTCTGGACTTTTTTTTTAATCTTTTTTTTTTAAAAGAGTACGATAGCTCTGCCCAATGTCTAAACCACTGGTCTCTGTTTGTGATTTATCTTTGGTATTTGAACCTCTGGATCAGGTGGACATAAAGATACTCTGCCTTATTATTGCTGGCCCTTGCATCAGCAAAACATGTCAGTGACACTTACGTACTGTCAGTGATGTACAATGCACAGTTCACACAAGGTAATCTTAAGGTCATACTTGAACCAAACTCTGCCTTCAGGCCCAAACATCCATCACTGGGGTGTGTTCTTTTGAAGCTGAGGGCAATTTATCCCCCTCCCTTTTTCTCCCCTGAACAGGAGTGGCTGCTTGCTCTCTGATGGGTGACACTGCGTCAATCCCTTTAATAGGGAGGGAGAGTGGCTCCACCTCGATGCAAGCGTCATGACTATGAGCCAGTAGTATTTGGAGTAATAATATAAAGGCTTCGGAGGTTAACGCTGAGAGAGCGCTCCTTATAATGAGACACCTCACTGATGTTATCAGAGAAAACTGATAGAAACTGTATAGATTATATTTGGGCTTGAAGATGCATGCCTAAGGTGTGATATTTGAATGTGAAAGCTGGGATCACTGTTGAAAGAAATGAACCAGACACAACCGCAGAAGAAACTAACATCTAATTAGGATGCTTACACACAGTTACTTAGATTGAAAGAAGAGGAGAAAGAGAAACTCTAAGTGCTTGCCAGACACCAGAGTGATCTCTATTTCTGGAAGCGAACTCTTTTCCTCTAAACCCACTTTAAAAACAATTTACAAAACATTTGTTCTTGACATGCTAGCAGTTTTAGTTGTTTGATTACCTCCTGGTTCTCTAAGCTGAAGCAAAGTGTGTTTCTGTCATAATTCAACACAATGGCAACTATCGAACTGCTACAAATCAATTAATGTAGGTTGGCCAAAATTCAATCAAAGACCAGAACAGGTACCTAGTGCTGATGTTTCAATGCTTATGTTGTGACAGTGAGTTGCAAAAAAAAACTCTGGTATTCATTCTGTGCCAAGCCTAAGCTTTCTGATGTATCCTGAACATTGCTCTTGTTCCAGCTTACCCAAGAAAGTGAACCTTGCGAAGAACGAAGCTGAGCGGAAGCACAGCAGTGGAAGCAGCAGAATGATGAGGTAGAAGGGGACGGTGTTGGTTTTACTCCAATAGCGTTGAAAATCGTTGACATCAGAGGTACCGTTTCCGCTACTGCTAAGATAAAGTGTGCTGATGGTATCATTCCCTCCAGGGTCGGTGTTTGGGTATGGACAGATGACTGGTGAACAAATCAACAAAGCGTTACCGTACATACAGTTACCTACTCTGCATTTACAAAAGAACTACATCATTAACATCAATGATAAAACAAAGTTGCGTTGTGCAAGTGACTTACCTCTTTCTGAGCCGTTGGTTCCAAACTCTGAATCTGACACGTTGACATTGTGAGCATGGTCTATAAACAGGAGAACACGCCATCAACTCAGAGAAATAATTGCAAGTTTAGAGATACAACCACCAATTATTTTCCATCTCTCTGCAAAAAATTACCATCATCTATAAACAGGTGTTCTCAGCTGTTATTAATGGTGAACACATGGTGAGGTAGGCTTTGGAATTTAAGGCTCATTAGGCTAGTCCCTAAATGAAACACACAAATGCCATGATGAACTTAGTCAAGTCATCTGACAAAGAAAACACAGAATCGGCCGTGGTACAGTTGTAAGACAGTGGAAGGCTGTTTAACATGGAGTCAGAAACAACAAATGTGTGTTGCCTTGAATTTCCTTTGTTTAAACAATCCAGCAAAGAAACTACAAATGTACCGTTGAAACCAGAAGTTTACATACACTGTATAAAAAGACTTTTTTTTATTTTTTTCCCCTCACTTTCTGACATTAAATGAGACTAAACTTTTCCTGTTTTAGGTCAGTTAGGATTACCAAAATTATTTCTATTTGCTAAATACCAGAATAATATGAGAGATAATTTTTAGAGAATGTTTTATTACTTTCTTCAAAGTCAGAAGGTTACATACATTTCCTTAGTATTAGTATTAGTAGTACTTTGGTCTTTTTATACAGTGTATGTAAATTTCTGGTTTCAACTGTATGTAATACTTACTTTCTTTTACTGACGAGAGCATTGTGACTTACTGTAGATAAACTGTCCAGTGTTGAAGAGGAAGTTGGACATGAGGACCCAGTAGACCACCATGGCTCCAACTAGCGACACCATGGAGAAAACCAGGCTGGACCACTGACCAAACTTTCCAAAGTAGTGCCTACAAACATCAGGGAATTCCCAGCTGGATGTGTCCACGGAGGCTGGACGGAACACAGACAATAACTACAGCAATTATTATCTAATTCTTGGATAAAAATGTCAGCAGTTTTAATCTGTTTAATGTGTTACAGTCCAGATTTGTTCCCTACCTGCTGCCATAATGACAGCTTACTGCTATCATCAAGACAGCAACAACTGCTACAGAACAGCTACTTCTAATTACTACATATTATTAGAATATTTTACCAAGCAGGAAAGAGAAATTGCTCCTTGTTGTTGAACAGTGGATTTATCCTTACAGAAAACACTGAAATGTGAATTTTGAAGCAAGAAACTATCTCTGCAATCTGCAGCTCCTTCCACTTTTCTACTCTGTTTTCTGTAAAATGTAGCTCCCATGTTTATTTGTTTACACCATTTACAGTCCAGTCTTTGGACGGATACACATTTCTCATCCGACTCTATGCTTCAGCATGTTCAATGTAAAATAAAATAATGGATACCAAGCTAAAGTATCAAGTCTCAGAATAGGATTTAACTAGGTTTTCATCAGTATTGAAATTGCATGGGTAAAATTTAACATAGCGACCAAACTGTAAGGGTTTACACATAGTTGAACATTTGGATGAATTGTGTTGAACAAAAATCTCACATGTGGCTCAGACACTGACTGAGAGCTCAGAGTTTCTATTTAGACTGCGGTGGAGTCCACTATAAGAGGCATAATAACAGGTGCCTATTAAAATGAAGATGATAACATGAGGCTCAAAAATTACCTAAACAGTTGTGTGGAAAAATGCTAAATTTGCATGGTGAGTAGGACT